CGCGTTAATGGTATTCAACCGGAACCGGGCCCGGAAACTCGACCGTATCTTAGTGCTCCAAAACTTTAATTTATTCTCGGGTTCCTGAAACCCACAAAAACTCCCTTTTTTAAAATAAAAACTGGTAAAGACCAAAACCTCTCTGCTGCCTTCCCAAATTTCGCGCACTATAAATTGCGAAAGCGGAGATTTCCTGGCGACTGAAAGCACGGCACCCTGTCCATAACGCCACGAACCAGCATTTTGAAAGATAAAATGTTCCAGCTACTGCGGCCCCCACCCACCAACTTTATCTCCCCCCTCAGACCAAAGTATACCAAAATTTCCCGCAGGCTAATTAGAGACTACATTGCAGTTAGTCGAAAAAAGTGATAATAAGCAGTAAGTCTGGTCTGCCGCTTTTGGTGGTTGTTCTTCCCTCCGGTTATAATTCGGTATAGTCAGGTCGCTAATCCGGAAAAAAACCTAGAATGCACGGAACGACGCCGACAAGACCACGATTCACGTCTATCCGGTACTCCTGATACCCGATGACTGTCAGGAAGCCAGCTGCTCAGCCATTCTGGGCACTCACATAGCATACTATCCGAAACAACAGAGATGCGGCTGTTTTCGAGAACCAAAAATCCTTCCTACTGGGTCCCGCTGCTTTGCCTCTTTCACCAATAGCACCTCGCACTGCTTTTCCAATCAAACCAGCTATTACCCCCATGAGAATGCCGGACCTTCCAGTCGCTTGTGAAAAGCCTTGATCGGGTTTCTTTGGGAAAGTTGCTCCGAAATTTTGGCGATTAGTGGTTCTGCGGTGGATGTGTTCCGAAAAAAAACTGAAAAACTAAACTGAAACTGAACAAACTTTTGCTTAAGAGAGAGTCACTTCGCAATATACAATATATGTATACCAGATGCAAATGAATGGCCAAAAATGCCACAAAATCCGCTCACTAGTCAACTTTCCCCAAAGACCATAGAGCACGGCAACACAAACAGCCTTGCGCGCTTTCGAAAATTTTTTGGTGTTTTGATCCAAAAGGATGCTCTTGCTACCCCTTCTAATCGTTTTATTGCCGGTTCCAGCTCATACCAAGGTATTATTTTATTTTATATTCATCATCGCTAGCTTAGTGCAACGAGATTGAGCCCGTAACACCTCCGAACTACCGGCTAACTGTAAAGTGTTTTTACTCAACTTGGAATTTCGATTCGGGACCAAGCGCAACTTGTGCAGAATTTTTCGCTGATTCCGAATATGTTTTCCAAATTTGCTACGGACTTTTATTTAAAAAATCAATTTTGGTAACAATTAGGCCGAAAAATGCCAAAAATTCAGACGCTGGCCCACTATTCCTTGTTTGGGGCTATGGTTCCCAGGGGCCCTGAAGTACCCTCTGACAGCACCCTTCCCAGTTGGCACCATGGTGCATTGGCAAAGTACTCGCTTGCCAAGAGCAGGGCGGCGGTTCGAACCCCGGCCTGCATCATTTCTTTTGCTTTTTGCATAAAAATCTTATTTTTTTTATCTAAAATGCTTGTTTTGAGCTGTAGGATGCTTGTCGAGCCAACGTCTAGTCAATTTTGACGTTGAAATAATGAAGAAAATCGAAAACTATAACGAAACCTTCATTTTGGTGAAAACTAGGGTTAGAATTGCCGTATAACTTTCAGAATAACGGTCCGTAGCAAATTTGGAAAACATATTCGGAATCAGCGAAAAATTCTGTACAAGATGCACTTGGTCCCGAATCGAAACTCCAAGTTGAGTAAAAACACTTTACAGTAAGCCCCGTCGAGGACTTGCCGACTGACTGTAGCGAAGAAAGCTGCCTCGAGAGGGGAGGAAAGTACATTGCTTACTATCCGCTCACCAGGAAATGCGCATGCTTTCGGAGCCCGGTGTCAGGCGAAAAATCGGCAATAATGAACAAGGACATCACCAGTTGCATATGGGTGGGGACTCTTCGCCTGGGGTATACCCCGCTGTCACTTACGGTTGAAGAGACGTATTCGCGATGCAAATTTGTGGCCAAAGGGTAATAGAGCGCGTTTTTTCCCTCTTGTTTTTTTGGCAATAAAAAGTGGCTATGTTGACCGTAAATTAATTAAACAAAACTCAATAACACGCAAATAATTCCAAAAATAGCTACAAATTGCATTACCATGCAATACTGGTTTCGTCACGCACACCCGGTACAGCAGCTTTTTTTAGGTTTCAAAGAGGAGGCGGAGGAGAGCGGCGAACAGTTGTTCGGCCAGCCAGTTTTCACATTTCTATGCAGTCGCTTTTTTCGGGGTAGTGGTTGGGAAAGATGGGCAAAAGAGAAGCCGTTAGAGTTTCATGCATTTCATACGACTACTATAGTCGTTCCGCTAGTTTCAAACTGGTTGAAAAGGTACGCAAAAAATCTGCTTTATGACTGAAAAGTTTAGATTAAGAAACAGAAATCTTGAGCGACAAAAAATACGCTGAAAAAATAAGATCCAGTCCAATTCTGGCCCCAAAATATAATGACTTGGCCGCGGGCCAAACCTCACACCACTCGACGCAATTGGCACTCGAAAACCAAATAACCCGAGTAGGGGGGAGCAAGCGGGATACACAATCGAGTAGAGGCCGAACAAGCGCAAAAGAGTTAATCCCGTGGGGGTGAGGGCAAGAATGAAGTGTTACCCCCCGTCCCTTGTTTGCTACCGGGTGACCGCGTATGAAAAAAGAAAACAAAGCCGCAGGCCCACCCTCACCCCCGAAAAATTGGCCCCAGGCCAGCCCCGCTGACTGGAAGGGCGAGTTGAATGGGAAATGAGGTAAGGGGGAACGGGTGAAGTAGCGGGAAGGTTTAAAAATGCAGAGAAAACATGGGGCCCTGTTTTTGGATGGCAAGACAAACCCTAAAAAAGCAGCAAGGATAGGATGGATTGTCCTAAAAATGAAGGAGAGACGAGGAAGAGACAGCGAGAGAGAAAGAGAGAGAGAGAGAAGGAGAGAGAGAGACAGAGAGGGAGAACAAATTATGAAATGATGGCCAGACGCAATAGTAAATGAATCCCTACAAAATTTCTACAGAAATTACAGTCGTGATAAGATATTATAAACAAAATCTGGTGTTTTTGAAAAATGTATACAGTAAGCAAATATAGTAAAAACAAGCAAGTACTGTAACTGCCAAAAACCCGAATTTTCAAAAATGACGTCTCTAGCCTGGGGTGCGGTCATTGTCCTCTCCCCAGGCCAGAGGTCCAGATGGTTGCCGGCGGATCATCCAGGATTTTGCGGTCGCGTAGAGATGATGAGACCTTCATAGGTCATAGATCGATATCTGCCACCTCGGCCAGCTTTCGTTCGTTCATAAGGGTCGGCCGCGCATATCCCCTCTACCAAGGGCGGCATATTACAATGAACGGCCCGGGCTCTCGACTTGCTGGGGAGGATCGACTGACTGGTTTGGCATTGTGAGGTCAACCAGAAGAGGGGCCAGATATGGACACCGCTGGAGGGACAAATACTTTGGGGCAGGGCACAAAGTCGCCGATCCTTGGGGTATAATGAGGGTGAGGGCAAATAAGGGGGATTGGTACTTTTTGAATGCAAACTATAGACAAAATTACTACAAAGTTATACTCCTCAAAAAAGGGAGGCGGGAAAAAGCGAAATAAAAATGAAGGAGAGGCGAGGGAGAGACAGCGAGAGAGAAAGAGAAAGATAGAGAGAGTGAGAGAGAAAGAGAGAGAGAGAGAGAGAGAGAGAGAGAGAGAGAGAGAGAGAGAGAGAGAGAGAGAGAGAGAGAGAGACTATGAGAGTACGAGTGCATGAGAACTCTGAATTTTGAATTTGTAACGCAAGTTTTGGAGTTTTTGTATTTTTTAGTTTTTTTTGTTATGTTTCGGTTATGTTTGTAAGCGTTTGAGCCGAAGCCCCAGCCTTCGCTGAAGCTAAAACTCAAGCAGAAGCCTTAGCCGAAGCCAAATCCTGAGCCAAAGCCAAAGCCGAAGCTTAACCTACGCCTAAGCTTAAGCTTAAGCTCAAGCCCAAGCCCAAGCCTAAACCAGGCCTGATCACCGGCCTCTTTAATTTGCATACGGAACTTTGATCCGACCAGCCTATTTCATAATCAAAGAACCTGGAATTGTTTGTCTGACCTCCCCCCTCCTTCACCTCACCTCCAAATATGACGCGACAGAATCAGAAAGCAGCAATCGATCAAGGTTGATCTTGATTGCGCCCCCAGGGCATAAAAGGCTGCACCATCAACACCACCACAGACCCCCTTCCACTCGTCTAGCCATTCCCATTCCCAACTTTGCGATGCGATTGCTGCTAACTTTTCTATTCTGCGCCCTGGGAGCTGAGGGCAACCCGTATTTCCATAACAACTTCTTCCCGATTGATGAGAAGATCGAGCCGCCATGTCGTGCGGGCTTTAGGAATATTGGTGGATCGTGTTATCGGGTAAGTCGAGGATGGGCAAGATTCTTAGGAAAGTGTGGTCGAAAATTTTTAGCGAATTTAGAGGTGATTTGCGGCAAGCTAGTAGCGATTATTTGTAGAAACAAGTAGAAGGCAAGTGTCTTTTTTTTAGGGAAGTATAATCTACAGTTTCAGCACCATTCAGTCAGATTCAGCGTAAAACAAGGCAAGCTAGCAGAGGTTTTTGTGAATAGTAGAAGCCTAGTCTAAATTTAATCTAGTCGCTACCTCAGGTTAGAAGTGAAGGGCAAGCTAGCAGAGGTTTTTAGCGGAAATGTTAAATTTTGAAGTATATTTTTTTGTAAGACTAGCGCATACGTAGGGGAAAGATAGCAGATCCTTAAAGGAAAGAAGCCAAAAATCAAGGGGAAATTCCGTCTTTCAGATCGTAATCGTTGGAGGTGACCACGAACAAGCCCGCACCATCTGTCGAGCCATCGGAGCCGACATCGACTTGGCCACCATCCGATGCCCTGAGGAAAATGAAGGAATTTATAGTAACCCTGTCTACCAAAACCCTAATATTTTAATCTCAGAAATGACAAAAGAACAATGGATCGCCGACGCCTTCGATGAGGTCAAACGCGAGAACAAGCTGTGGGACGGGTATTCTTGGGTAAGCTGAAAAATATTCTTCCTGATGTAAGAAATCCTAGAATATGTGGATCGGGCTTCACGGTTCTGACGCGAAGGTTCGACCCGATCCTAGCCAGTGGTAGGTGATCAACCGGTCACATGAATTCGATGATCAGGTACGTCGACCGGGACATGAAGCACTACTACCGGAATTGGGCCTCGAAGCAACCGGACAACTACTGGGGGACCAAGCGGGAAGCTTGTGCTTATGTAAGTTTTTACGGAGAGAGAGAGCGAGAGAGAAAGGGAGATAAAGAGAGAGAGAGAGAGATAAGGAAGCGCATATAACTATCTTGATTCAGATGTACATCCGCGAATCGTTCATCAATCACGCAGCCAACCCCTGGGACCCGGCCACGTGGAACGACTGGGAGTGCAGCAAGACCATGTTCGCCGCCGTCTGCGAGCAGAGCGTGGTAGGTTTAAAGGGATAGTGATACACAGCTAGACGTCGGAGAAAGCAAAAAGAGCCGGCCAATTTGAGATATGCAGTATTTCAGTAGTATGACGAGTAATACGTTAGATACCTTATACAAGTCTATCTCGGCAAAAAACCCTTTTCAGATGACCTCCGGCCAGGGTTGCATCAAATCGAAGCTGGCATTGCAGTAAGCTGATTCTCCGTTTTCTCAACAAGGATCTGACCGAAGCATTTTTCTTTGTCATATTTATTTATTGAATTTTAATAAACCTTTGTTTTACAGCTTAGCATCCACGTGAAAAAGAGCATTATTTGCCCTTGATACCGCAGATATATTCAGTCATCACGATGTCCACAGCCGCGAGAGCCCATTGACCGTATTCCTCCTCGTCGCAACGGTATGGCCTCAGCTAAAAAGGATTGAAGCTAAAAGAGAGAGAGAGAGAGAGAGAGAGAGAGAGAGAGTAGAGAGAGGAAAGGGAGAAATACAGGGAAAGAGAGTGCGAGAGCGAGGGAGAGAGATAGATGGAGAGAGAGGGACAAATTTTTTGATAACGAACCACGAGCGATTTGCGTAGGTCATTCGAAAAATTGGAATTGCAAAAATTCTGGAAATCCAAGCGGCTGTTGTCTGCCCATCTGGTCAGCGTCATCATCCCTAGGACTCGGTTCTCTGGTATTCTCTGGTATTACCACCGGAAGTCAGATTTCCCTTGCCGCCCAGCCACGCTGTGCCTACCTTCCACGTCGTGATAGGATTTTTAGAGCAGTTGTTCGAATAGATCATCTCTAGAAAAATTCGGGCTTTTCTGCCAATATTCATGCCGTACCCGTTGCCTACAAACCCCAGATTCATCAGTAAACCTACGAGTTAAGAATTCGTTTTCTGCAAGGCTATGTATTGCGGCCAGGTTGCCTCCCAGTTTTTCACATTCCGCTTCCGCTTTTTCCCAAGTCAAACCCGATGGATTGGAGAATTCCTAAAAGCTAGAAATAGGTAGGTATTCGAGGTAATACAACAAAGCCGAAAACTCAAAAAATCGGATCAAACTTTATATTTTTATCAACCTGGTAGCAACTTCCATTAAACGACGTCCACCCATCATTGCAAGTCGTTGCTAAATAATATTAGAAAATTGAGTTTATTACGGTAATTTAAGAATGATTTACCAATTAGTGGTTGATACGTAGCAAGTTGTGTAGCGCAGCATGCAGCCGGCTCCTTGAGCGTGAGTTCAAACTCCGGCGTCTCGTCCCCATAGCAGAACGTGCAGTTGCCGTATCCAGCAGTAACTAATTGTAAGTAATCGTTTGTGAGAGTATCTTTTTGCCTACAGTAGCTACTGTAGTTGAAGCCGGTGCATTTGTAGTCTGTATTCAGAGCCAATGCTACACATCCTTGGTAGCAATCAACAAATTTGGGATCGGTAGCGTCATAGATCAATTCCGTGTTTTTGATGAAATAAATTGTGCTCTGAGCGCTAGATGCTAGGATGAAGGAAAGGAGCATGAGCATAGACATTTTCGGGTGTTGGATGCAAAGCAAGATTGCGCAAACCACAGGGGGTTCAAGACCCAACCAACCTTTAATCGGCACCATGGGTACGCCGCCATGGGTACCGACGGGTATGGGGGCCATTGACGAGTTTCGGGGGTTTTTTGTGGATTTTGATCGTGGGAAGGTCGTAGAACCGGAAAGCGATGTGTGTCTAGGACGAGTTCAAATTTTTTCCGCAGATCTGAATTCTCACAAAGACTTAAAAAACAAATCAACATAAATAAGTTTTCGCTTGCACTTATCAAATGTATGAGAGCTCAAAAAAATATTTTTTAAAAAAATGGAAAAATTCTTAGGACTAATCTTAGACATATAACATTATTAGGACACATTATTAACAGTAAGACACGTCACCTAACTTTAAGAAAATCAAATAACTATAGAATCAATTCAGAAAGACTTCTTCCGTCGAGTGTGCTATCGTTGCCGGGTCCCGTATGGCTCCTACAGTTCGGCTCTCACCAATTTCTCCGCTGAACCGCTGAACTTAAGGAGAACCATCATGGACCTTTGTTTCCTATACAATTTACACAAACGTGTTTCCAATATTTCCCCTCAAAACTTTTTCGAATGTGTTCCATCCCGAACTCGTGGTCTGCTCGTTAAGCTCAAGCCTATTCTCGGTCAAAAATCCTCTGTACAAAAGGCGTTCTTTTCATTGCGTGTATGTGCTCTTTGGAATTCTTTGCCCCAATCTGCCTTCGATAGTTCTTCAACTAAGCTATTTAAAAAGCAGGTTTCCCGATTAGTACCTATTTCATCCATTCTTTAATTCATCATGTCCATTTAACCCCTTAATTTCAACCCTCCTCTATCTATCCTATCCCTTCTTCTCCCCCCCCCCGTTTTTTTCTTGAACAAACTTCCAACTAATAAGTGTTTACTTGTAAACCTAAGTGTGAGAAATAAATTATTATCCAGAAAATCTCGACCCTCCTTGAAGTCCCAGAATTGGCTTCAAAAACGGCCCAAGCCGAAAACAACAAAAACCGCATATTTCGCTTTGGAATACGGTATGCAAAAATCTCGGCGACAGAACTTTCGTTCCAACCTGATAATAAGTTATTTGTTCACAAAGACAAAAACTTATACACGTTATATATCCCATTCTACACCATGGACCGCACGATGAAAACTCCGAGCCACTCCGGAATACGGTCGATTTCATTCGTTTGATCTGAACTGAAACGATTTGTTACGTATATTAGTTTTGTTTGAAGTAATTAGAAAAAAAAAAATTAAACCCAAGAAATACGTGTTATTGGTGCGTGGTTAGGAGCGTTTCGCACGTGCAGGTTCGCTTTCTAGTTCCCACCGAAGTAGTGAACATCTCGAGGTAGCCGAGCAACCCAAGAGACCACGTTCGCCAAAAAGTAGATCATTTTTCACACGGAGCCCTTGGTTGTCCTAGTACCAGGGCATCTGGCCCGATAAAAAAGGTGAATGCGTTCGTTTTTCAACTTGGCTGTTCTACAGTATCCCCGAAGTAGGCCCTGGATTCTAGTCTTAATTCTTGCCTGCTGCGCTCAGCAATCAGTATATTTCATTTAAACCGTAACGCTTGACCGATCCCAAGTCTATCGAGGGCTATCAGGGTTGTGTGATCTTGAGTATGGCCACAGACTATAAATGCATTGGGTTTGACTACAGTACCTACCGTAGGCCAAGTCAAGCCTCTAAATGGTTTCTAAGTTACGGCCGGATATGGGAACTGTCAGTTTTGCTCTGAAGGTGATGTCGCTGAGTTTCAACTAACGTTCGATGAGCCGGCAGCGGGGAACCCAAAGGAAATCGCCAAGTTCGAGCCGCCGACTGGCAATTTTTATCCTTAAAAGTGCTCGATTATCGAAAACGTTTCTTGCCCGCGAAAGCATCTTGTGATGAGAGATAAACGTCATTCAACGGGAGATGCTACCTAGTAGGGCTTGTCTTCTCCAAAATTTCTCTTGTGGGTCGAAAAATCGACTGAATATGGCGTGGATTGGGTGTCAGCGGGTCTGGTGTGCCAGGCCAAGGCAGCGGTTCTTGCTCCCGTACACAAATTATAAAAAAAAAAAAAAATTTTAGAGGAAAAAAGCTCCCAAAAAATTTTTTTTATATTTTAAATAAATTAAATAAAAAAAAAAAAAAAAAAATTTTTTTTTTTTTAAAATTAAATATAAATAAAAAAAAAAAAAAAAAAATATAATTTTTTATTTTTATTAAAAGAGTTTTTTTTTTTTGGAGGTTTTTTTTTGGGGGGGGGGGGGGAAATATAAATTTTTGAGGTTGAACCCATCCAAGAGAAGGGGGGGGGGGAAAAAAAAAACCTGAAAAGGGGAAAAAAATAAACTCATTTTTATTTTTTTTAATATAAAAAGGGGAAAGGGGAGGGAGGGAAGGTTTGGTTTTAAAAAATTTTGAAGAAAAACAACAAACCTAAAATAATTAATTTTTTTTTGGTTTAAATTTTTTGTTTTTTTGGAGGGGGGGTTTTAGTTTAAAAAAAAAAAAAAAAAAAATAAAAAAAAAAAAATAAAAAAAAAAAAAAAAAAATATTTTATTTTTATAAAAAAAAATTCTAAATTGGGGGGGGGGGGGGGGGAAGGGGGGGGGGGGCCAATATCTTCCTCCAAAAATACTTGAAGACCAATCGAAACCGGTTTATCTTTCTTTTTGTATCCCAGTTACCAAATAAAAGAGTTTCCGCATTTGAAGTTATTTTATCGGCGCTAGAGGGTGAGCGTGGGTCACAGACTTTGCAAAAAAACTTTTCAAGCCTAGTTCTGAGACCAATAAAGCGTTTTCTTAGCCTTCTTTACTTTTCATGACTGTTGCTCTCTCTTGAAGATCAACAGCGTTTAATGAGTTGTGTTTCTAGGCGACAGAGTCAAGCAAGGCAACATGCCATAACTTACGGCGAAATTTTGTTCGCCGAACCAGCGCCTCACCACCATGGACACAAAAAGTCCCGATTCTCCAAAATTTTCAGCCGACTTTTGTTTGGCTCATACTATGCTTCAACTATTTAGCTTGCACTACCTTATGCCCGCCCTAACCTCCGCCGTGATCGTTTCTTTTCGGCAAACCTATCCATTTTCCTATAATCCAAGTGATGCCGAATTTGTGGCATGCTATCAGGGGTGCCTGGATCTGGCATTGTATACGAGCTATAATTGCACCGGATTCAGTTATACTACCTTTTTTAAGCAGTATTAAATATTATTGATAACGCGGTCCTAGTCTCTGCTGGATTCGGGAATTGCTCCTTTGTCTTCGACAACCAGGTCGCCGATTTTCAAATGGCCACCGATGTCTCGGCAGAGGAAGTGGGGATGTGTACTTCCGGAGTTTATGCAGGGCTTAAAGGTATAGAGAGGGAAAAAGTGAGAGAGAGAGCGTGCGGTAGAGAGAGCGAGAGAGAGTGAGAGCCTGCACAAATTTTTAGCCACAACCTGCGGAAGTCTCGGAGGCATTCAATGGACCCCATTTGATGGCAACTGTTTCAGCGTAACTACCCTAAAATCTAGACCCATTTTGTTTAGGTATTCAAAATTAGTGGTATTACCTGGCCGGATGCGGAAAGCTCCTGCCAAAGCTACGGTGCCCACCTCGCCTCTATCCATAGCGCCGCGCAGAACGAGTTTCTGA